CTCCAACATCCATCTCCTGAGATAACGCAGAAATGTACAGTACTGCATCCTGACACAATGGACTGTGTTCAAGACAGCAAACAACAATGGCTACAATAATTGAACTAATTTAATCTGTCAACAAATTGTAGGTTTAAACCCAGACTAAACAAATGTGCACAATATCAACTGAATGTCAAACGATTCTAAACTGTGTCACCTTACAGCAGTTGCATCACTTTTAAGTAGAACAGCAGAGTACTTGCATTACCACTTTAAATTTACTGTATTAAACATGCAGGCCCCACAGTATAGAAAGGCAGTGCACCTTGGTTTGCTGAGATTCAAATCTTTCTTTTTTTTCTTCAATACTTCACACGTCCATCGTTATTTTTGATGACAGATTCAATCCTCCTCAGCTTGGAGGATACTAGTGCTGCTCAAATTTCTGGAGAGATGTTCTGCCATTGTTCAGAGACCATTATTTCCAGCTGCTCTTTGCTGGGGGGTTGTATTGCTCTGTGTTTCTCTTTAAAATACCCCAGAGATGTTCTACTGGATTCAAGTGAGGCGACACACTTGGAATATCCAAATGCATTCATGGCATCATCTATAAATGTAACTTCTGAAAACACCTTTTTCGCTCATGCAGCCCCAAAACCATCACACCCTCTCCTCTGCTTCACTGTTGGGACTATGGATTCACTGTGGTAGTCCTGGCCACATTCACACCAAAAATGCTGCACCCCATCTGAGCTGAACAACTTTGACCAAAGACCATGCTCCCAACACTCATCCGGCTTCTTCACATGTTTTTAGGCCAAATTTCATCTTGTTATTTGCCGAAGAGCAAGCAAGGCTTTTTTTCCTTCTTCCTGTCTGTTCTAAATTGTGCAAACCGCTGTCCATGGCGTCACTTTAGGAAGACAACTGCTTCAGCTCTGATTAGTGGTATTATAGGTCGTTCCATGCCTCCTAATTACTGTTGCAACTGTATTACAGCTAATTTTAGTTGGTTAGTAATCCGCTGGTATACTTTACCATCTTTTTTCAATCTAACAATCCAATTTGGGACGATACAAATTGGATTTTGGATTGAATTTCAAGATGTGTACATGCTTCTGTTGTACACTGTATATAAACAAATACATCAACTATTCAGAAATGCACAAAAAATGATAAAGCCTGGACTTCACACCAGGCATTTATTCAAATTCAAAGAATTAAATCTCTTTACATCTGAAGCCCTGCTGTGCCATTAAAAACACCTCTGGGCAGTGTTCGCCATTCCTTAATGCTCTGATCGGCAGCCTCCCGCAAAGCATGATGCATGAACCCATTTAAATTAACAAAGGAATGGGTTCCTTCTAATCTCACTGCACTTCACAGTTCTGCCGCCGCTTGGATGAGCAATATATCATTGCACATACACATGCACAAACACGCATGCACAAACAAATGCCCTTGAGCACTGCACACCACAAGCCTCAGTATACACTCCGTTCAGAGGGGGAGTACCAAATAATTTGCAACTACTATATTATGGTGCGCACACACACAAAAACAAGATCAATTAGACCCACTCTATGTACAGAGTGTTGACTACGCAGCTAATTTATGTGTTGTGTAGGCTAAATCTGAAGCAAAATCTCTGTCTGCACTTTCTACACATATCTGCATGCACATGCACCTTTCTGCAGACCAACACAAAAACACACACGTTTATGCATGTATTCATGTCTCCAGCTGAGAGGAACACCGCTGCAGCTTTGATGTGGCAGCAGGCGATGGCACAAAAGACAAGCAGGCTGATGAAAGTGGCTGGTCTGCGTGAATTATTCCTCTGGTTGTCAATGTGCTCCACTATGAGACAGAACACACACTACGAGGGTACAAGGGTACAAGTAAATATACATGTCATTGCCATGAAGCAATTATTAGGCAAAATTAGATCAGTAATTACAGGCTTGAAAATAAAGTGGGAGTTCTTTATTAGTGGAGCCACTTGCTATTCAACAAATAGAGGAGAGAGACACATTAATGAGGGAGGACAGCGGACAGATGGCAGGAACAACCACAGAGAACTTCTCATTTAAGACCCTGGCTGAACAGGGTGAGCATGTTTCTCCACCATACGCTAATACCAACTAACAACTTAAATGGAGGGTAGTTAAATTAGCTGAAATTAAGTACAAAGGGTACCGAGCAAGCAGCTTGCTTTGGCCTCAATAAAACTAAAGTCTTAAATCGCTGACATACATATAAGTACCGAAATGTGAGAGAGCGAGTCGTAAAAAACAAAACATCAGTGCTGTGTATCTGTAACAGAGCCCCATATTGCAGGACCATTATGAGGCCGAGGTGTTATGGTATTATTTGGTTTTCTTTAAATACTCAACCAAATAAACATTTTACTATTTTTTTTTTTAATCAAAGCAGACTCAAAGATTTTGTCTTCATCAGTCAAAGAGCGTTGTTGTCCTTAAACCAGATTTTACGTTTTGTGGACTTGCTTTGCAATAAAGACACATTCTACATGTGTCCATTAAATATAACTTTGAACTTTTTAGACTCCATCCCAGAAATATCTATTCAACTATTTTAATTCAAGTACCGTCTAACAAAGAATCCTGATAAACTTGGACTCAGTATCCAAAACAAGATCTTGCTTTTGAATTTTTAAAATGTAATTTCAAACAATATTACAAGAGGACAAGCAGAAGAGGACAGCCGCCATTGTGTTCGGAATGCTGGGCGAATCTGCATCGCTCGATTCTACAAGTGAAAAAATATGTTTTTGTAACTATTGGTGAACCTGCTTTTTACGTGTCAGTCTATCTGGTACGCAGTAGTGACATCTTTTTCTCTTCTTTGTTACATTTTTATCTATGTTGATGTCCTGATTTTCAAGGCCACTCTCTTTGCCACATGAAATTATTTCAGAATCTTTGTCAGACTGCTGTCACTCTGTGAAGCTATCGAGTTTCACACGAGTGAAAACTATAATCCTTTATGCTTTTCCTAATCTGTGTACATGCCAAATATTAAACTTAATGTTCATCTCTGTAATTACTCGGTCAGTATTTTGAGCCTGCCTTCCTCAGCCACACCTCGCTGTGTGTTTATGTGTGATTCAAAAAGAAAGAAATAATAATAAAAAAAAGACAGACTGCCACACTCCAGACCCACCACACACACACACACACACACACACCTCTAGCTACAATAATATTAATGATCCACTCTCGAGAGTGTATTACTCATTCAGCCATTAAAGCAACTTTCAAATCCCCTGTGGATAAGTCATACACAATATCAAAGCATCGCAACCGAACGAAATATTAAAAAACATTTGGATCACATCTACAGTATATACTAATGAGCAATATTTACAAAATGTCACAGAGTCAGATGTAATTTATCACACCTGCCACACTGTTGAAGTCAAGTGTGTCTACACCAATTAAAAATACCATACCATTAAATCAGCTACTCTATGGGATATGAGCTAGCTAGAGTGTTTTTATAAAATAAAGATAAAAGCCTTGAATAGGTTAGACGAGGCCCTGCACGAACAACAAACTACTCTAAGATAGATGTACTTCTCACAACAGGGCAGTCCTCAACCTTTACATTCTCTCCACGCGACTTCATCTTTCCAGAGAGAGCTTATCCTCTCATCTCCTCCTCCAAAGCACTGCATTAGCTGGGACAGTAAGGCGGTGCTGCCTCGCCAGGGACAACACAAAGTGTTCTCTCGCCTCCAGGGGAGACGGCAAAGGGCACGGGAAAAATAGTTTGAGTGATGGCTACGTCTAGCTGACTAATGAACAGTTCAGCCCAGGTCAATCCATTACAACCAAAAGCATTTAATTATTAATTACGGCCAATCTATAGGCAGTTAAGGACAAGTGACATTGTATGTTTAATGTGCGATATGGCCGGTGATGGAGGCATTTGAGGAGGGGGGAGGGCTGGTTTAGGCTGCAAAGTTGTTGAGGCATTTTGGTTATTAGTGTACGTCAGCAAAGAACTCAGGAGAAAAGGGAGAGAGGAGGGGAAGGTTGTGATTCCTGCTCATGATGAAAATGTGGGGAGTGTGAGCTACACAACAGCATGTCAGAGCATTAAGAAATAAAAAACTGCTCAGGTTAGGTTAGCTCATGTTGGGCTGCACTGTGCATTAGACTGTTTTTTTTGTTTTTCTAAGGATTCCAAATGATAAATTGTGTGCATGGAAAAAGAAAGAGGACACAACGGCATTTCAGAATCATATGTTATCAGTAGAAAGAAGGGTACTAAACACCAGATAGATATACTTCTGTAGTGTACCACTGCTCAGTCTATTTTTTATAACAACATCTGATCAAGTTTAGTTTTTTTTTTTGAAGTACAAAACTGCAAAATAATTGGAAAGCAGAAGACAATTAATGAAAGACTTTGAACATAACAGAAAAAATAAAGGACATCAGTTTTTACAGAGTGAATAGATCTGTTGGTTCAAGTGACATAATATTAAATTATGTATGCCATGTTTCTTGAGTATTGCCATTTAATTTGTTTTGCTTTGCATTTTTTTAAAAATATGTTTTATGTGATATGTATATTATGAAATCAAATAAAGCCATTATTCACTGTGCATTACAGTACATGTGTCATTATGAGTCCCTATAGTCTCACGTTCCTGTGAGTGTTACCACTAGAAAACAAACACCCAGTGCAGTAGGGAGAGAATTTCTGGTTAAACACTATTTTGTCTGCTTTGGTATTGGCTCAGTAATACACAGAATTCAGAGCTGTGCTTTGTGTTTGTGTGTTTGTGTCACTCATGACAGGTCCAACCTCTACAGTAATGTGCATGTGCATATGTGTGTTGCCTTAGGCAGTTGCGTAGGGTGAAGGGTTGAGTGAATGGGGAGCAAAGCCGCCTGAGTGGTTTGCTTCATTAGGAAACAAAATATAAGCTTTCCGGGCCATTAGGACTGACTTTAGATGCAAAAGCACATAAGACGACGACTCACCTCATCAACGATGCATTGCAGTAACTGGAGAGGCTGAAAGAGGAGAGGCACAGGGAGATGAAGAAAAAAAAACACGTTAGCCTACACGGAATTTCTTGGCAATAGGGAAAATCAATAGTGTGATAAAAAAAGCATCTACCTAGATTAATCAAATGCAGCGAGTTCAGGCAAAGCCACTCTTCAGCTCCTGAATGTTTTTATTACTCCATAATGGCACCTAATGTAATACCAGCAGTTTAAGCATGATCTAATATTTTGCTGCAAAAATGCAATTGAGTGTGTTTTTTTTTTTTCAAATGAGAGAGTCAACCAAGAGTAACAAACTATAGAGTGGGAGACCTCTAGCTTTCGCTCCTCCTTTTCTACTGCAATAAAACTTACCATTAAAGATCCTTGGTTTTTCTGAATCTGTAGGGCAAGACAGAGAAGAAGAGACGAGGCAATATGTAATTAGCGTGTCATAATCAAGACGATGCACTTGGACACATTATGATCACTAGGAGAAAATTATTGCTTTCCTGTTGGCAATTTGTGAGTATGTGTTAACACCATTTACATAATGAAAACACACAAATGTTAATGGCCTTGCACTCATTTGCGGAGAACGGGGGTAAAAGATCCAGTAATGCTAATTTTCAGAGCAGCACTTTATTCCTGCCCTCCAGGTTATCTAGATGTGCTGGGAAGTAGAATAACTGTTACAAAAACAGTATTGAAGAGGCTTTGTAATGAGCGTGCTCAGTGTGTCTGATTCACAGGTGCAACAAGGATATTAGGACATGGTAAGCTACCTAAATACATAATGACAACAGGGTAATAGCTATCACTTTTTGGAATAGGCAAAAGGGTAAGCTGAGAGCAGATCTTCAAAGGTGGGGAAATACTATCCCAGATGTGCTGAACTGAAATTAAACAGAAAAAAAAATACATTTAAGATACTTGATATGTTATTGACTTGCTACGTTTGTTTTCTAGAGTTTCAATAAAGACATATGAAAGGCCTGTGTTCCTAAAAACGAGCAACTTCTCATGTGGAAGCCTCGTCTTAAAACATATGACACGGCAGTGAATCTATGGAGAGCACCTTGTTTTTCTATTTCAAACCCCCAGAGCTGAATTCATCAGGCTGGCCCGTTTTTTAATTTCTAAAAACCTAAATGTATAACTTTATCACAACAACTAAATGATACAAGGCTTGAAACCCCGGCTCAGCTAAATGTCTAATAATGTTTGGTGAATAAATTGCTCATTTCTCCAGGTCTTTTGACAGTGCATTAGAGCACTTATTGATTCACTCAATTAAATACAGGTTTTCACACTCTGTAAATACCAAGAGACTCCTAAACTGCCTCTATATCCAGTTTTGCCTGATTCAGACACATTAAAGGCAACTATGGAAAACTAATTTGTTCAGAAATAATTACTAGAACAAAATTGCGTGTTGCTCCAGGGGTTGAAATTGGATAGTGGGAGACTAACTTATTCAAGCATAATTGAGCACTTATTCTTCTTGTACTGGGTAGCTTGACCACATATCAAAAAGCTTTAATAATCCCTCCCTATCTTTCCCTCTTAACTGAATCTCTCATTACTGTGTGCTGATTATCTGATAGATATATCATCATGTGCATGTTTATCCTGAGGGTAAGCATTGTTTAATGTATTATTTAGGGTTAGGAAAACAAGACATTTCTTTAGTTTTTCTTCTGATGCCTGATCTTAGAAACACATGCACGATGTATGAAAGTGTGTTTGTACATCACTAAATGGCGAATGCAGCTGAGAACATCACAGCTTTTTGTGTCTTTGAGCTGGAGAGCCGCTCAAGTTCTTCAGCTTTTCTTATTTCACAACGGGCTCAGCATGAAAACAAGAAGTCACAAAATCTTTTTTTTTCTGTCCCGATTTTTGTCCCTTTCAAAAGCAACTCAATAAGCAATTCTAAAAGATCAGATGGCAGTTTGCCTCCTTAAAAATTTCAAAGATACTTCTTGAAGGGAAAGAATCAGAAAATTCAACAAGTCTCCCTTTTTGATAACCCTCCTCCCCACCATCAGTTTCAAAGGTGTGATTATGGGTAAAGGGCAGCTACACAACGTCTCCATGGAGATACAACTATTACAAGAGGGAAAACGGTAAGAGGTCCTCATCTCTGTTCTTGTCTTTATTGTTAGGTTAACAACAAGTAAGCTGCTGCATTATTCTGAGATGTGCTACCCTGAAATTATAGGCTGTTAAAAATCATGTAACAACGCTAGCTCCTCTCTGATCTCCTTTAAACTGACAACCTTTTATCCTTAGCCACAAGGATACGACTCAAATTAGACTCACTCAGTGGTAAATTTAGATTAGCACCACCGTATTGATTAGAGAAAGCTCTATTGAGTTAAAATATTACACCTTTAAAATATGTTATCGTTCATCAGCTGTACACTGAACACTGTGCATTATTCAGAATGTTTGGGTAACAATGATTAGCATGATAATAAATCGTGACAGATGTAGTGTAGCTTTACATACTTAAGATTGAGAAGGAAGGGCCAATATTTTATTCATGTGGCTTGTAGGGTAATCTAAAGCCTAACAGTGACGCCTAATGCACTGAAATAAAATGTTAACCATTCTCTTACAGGAGGACATGTGATCAAACAAAGTATGAAGGAGGTTGGAGTTTGCTGTTGGCTGTTGAAAAATTACAGCAAACATTGTTTACAAGACACGTACAGTACACAGTAGCAAAAGATGCCGTTTTCTTTCCATTTCATTTGAGAGGGGAAAAAAAAGTACCGAAGGGAAATCATCTACACTGTTTGATGAATGCAGCGATGTGTAATGGAAGTTCCTGGAAGAGACGCGCGATAGCCTGACACAGTATTTCATCCAGAGATTCATTCAAATTTGAGAAAATATGACAAAATGAAGAGAAACAAAAACAACCATAGACCAAGCAAAAAGACAACAAATCAATCAGAAACAATAGTGCTGGCGGCTGTATACACATCACATCAGGTCTGGTGTCTTCAAAGACTTTCAGAGCGAGCCGTGCAAAACTCCATTAACTCCTGACAAAGAATGCAAATGAATCCCGACATGTGGTGAAGTGGAATTAAAGAGACCATCTCTAATCATGAGAAACACGAGGTGATGACTCTACTGTGCGCGCTTGCACACACACAAAAGGATGATTGAGAGATAATGCACCAACTAAACAACATACAAAAATAAAAGCAAGTGGAAGCACACATACTTCCTCAGAATTTTAAAGTGTGAACAACACACTGTTAAAATTAGCTTCTCTCAGAAGTGCACATCATGTACATCCCAAAGCCAAATTTTTCCAACTTTAGGAACTCATCCTGTGTCTTCTACCAGTCTACAGGACAAATCCAGATGCCACAGATTCACTCCCAATCTCTCTCTCTCTTTTATCTTCTCCAACTTCTGCCTCAGCCTGTACTAAAATGTTCTCTGTGAAGTGTAGCAGGGGGTTTTGCACAGACAGCTGTGCCAGCGTCTGCAAAAATGACAGCTTAGGCCCGAGGACTTTGGCTGGCTGCGCCTGACGAGCTGGATCCGAGCGCTCTCGCCACACTGCTCTGCTACAGCCTGCAGGTGAACTGTCTGCAGTGCCATATGGAGATAGGAAGAAAATTAACACCGATATGAAGAAATCTGCGTGACGGCCTAAACTACAAACTGAAAGGTGTTTCTGATATTTTGTCCATCCTTTTTCCATCAATTAATACACTAACAATTAACAGGAAAGCTCAATAAAATGAAGGAGGGAACAGCAATCTAAAATCAGACACGCCTGAGGCTGTAGGCAAACACACTCTCCACACATGTAGTCAAACAGATTGGTCATTGTGTGACAAGTACATCACTATACAATCTAAGTGCTGTATAAACACACTTTGCATTTACTTTGCGTGACAACCTACGAGTAACAATCAACAGAAAGTAAATTCAGAGCGAGATACTGACTGCAATCTGTCCCATAGGTAGTGGTTACCATGGAAGCATGCAACAAGGTGCAGCAACAGCACATGTGGGTTTATATCAGCACATAACGGAAGACATCTACAGAATAACATCTTCAAATGGAGGTAATGGACAACAGCATCCAAATCACCAATAATCTAAAAGTAAACATGCACGTGTACTTAGATTTTAAAAGCCTCATGAGACATCCGGCTCCAACATTTTAGGAACAATAATTAGCATATCTAAAAACAAGCAGTCATTGAGGGAAACCCTGCACAGATCCTGCAGTAGTTACAACGCACTCTGTTTAATCAATGACAGTGAAGTATCATTTGACTGATGGATCAGTCCAACTGCTGCATGCATGGAGCTGAGAGGAAAATCATGAAACATGCCATTATGCAGACTGCTTTGAAGACCAAAAATCTCAATTGTTTATAGTATAGTTTAGGTTTTCCAAACACAGTTTTCACACAATCCCAATCAGATTTTAAGAAACCAACTCTTTCAAACTAAAATCTGTCCTCCTTCTCATTTTGTAAAGGAGGGCAGCCAGGAGGTAACTTGAGGTAACCAGATTCAGATTGCTCAGCTAGGGATTAGTGAGATAAACCCATCTTAAAGGGCTAATTAATACTTGATGGGATTGGGAAGCCACTTCTGTGGTCGGCAATTACATTTGAGCAGGATTTTAACTTAGTGTAATGGGGGAACCTAAAGAAGAGATGTATACATTTTGAGTTCTATTTCAACAACTTATTTGGATCAAGCTAGAGAAGAGGAAATAGAATTTCCAAGTTAGCAGACATATTAGTTTCATTCATAATTGTAACCGACACCCGCCATAAGAATACCAGAAGAAAATTCAAATAGGTTTACAAATATATCTACAATGTGGTAGAACAAAGAAAGCCTGTGTATTTTTTTGTTATCTTATTAAATCGTGTTTTCAAAATCTGATTCAAACATTACATAATCAGAAAATCTACTAAACCAGCTATAATATCTGCAGAGCGGACACTGTGGTTTATCAAGAACACTGTTACTATAAACTTATCCTAATAAAGCAACAGGAAATCATCTCAGCAAAAATCATTTCTGGCAAAACCGCTCCTATCAAAACATTCCACCTTTTAAGGTATTAATCAATCACATAATAATACTAATATGCTTTAAATACTAATGGAATAGAACATTAAAAAACACTTACCTGTGGATAGGGGAACATTCCAAGTGCCAGCTGTATCGAGAAGAAAATAAAAATCAGTGCAACAGTAGACCGCGGACAATTTGTTTTATTCCATCAAACTAGCAGGTGATGTGAGTGTATGTGACTTGCAAATATCAGTCAGTGACAACAAAACGCGAGATTATAAGCTTCACAAAAGTAAGATTTCTTATATGGCCACTGAACTGGATTGCAACGGACATCAAAGGATGACAATATATTCACCTCTTGTATATATGTATGTAACGTACACTTTGCCACCTCCAGTGTCTTTACAGCACAGAGTGTCGTACTGGAGGAAAACAATGCTGAAGCTACTGCAGCGTGCAGAACTTGAGACTTTCAGTCTTTGAGGTGAGCTTACTGGCCACCTGCTGATAACACTTCCTCATCAAACAACATCAGCTATTAGTTAATAACCCCTCCCAATTACCACCTGCAGAGAACAAAATAGAAGGATAAGGAGGAGGAGGACCGGATTGTGGGGCATTTGTATGTAATGTGTGCATGTGTGCGTGCGTGTGTGTGTGTGTGTGTTATTTTCGCTGGGGGGTTGGGTGACAGCTCTCCCTGACATTTGGCAATTCACTTGGGGTGGGCATTTTTCATCTTGGTCAAGGGCAGCTTATTGGTAACATTACGTTATTAAAACGTCAAAATGCTCACCTCTTTCCTTGAACATAAATAGACCAACTAGTAGGGTAAAGATCAATCCAAACTGAGTGGGACTGCAAGCCATTTAATTTAGCTTAATGCACGCATCTACAGCTACAAACAAAGAGACCAGGGCCAGAGGATCCACTGCTATTAAACTTTATCTTTATCACACAGAGATCACGTCAATAATTCTGACACGGCTCCAACACTGTGAACTCATCCATTATTGTTATAACTGTAATGATATTAAACATTATTGACAAACAAAAATGAGGCAGGAGCCCAAATCGTTTGTTGTACTGCAGAGGGAGAGCTGGAGACTGAAACAGATGGCGAATCAATAGTGTCAGTGGGACAACAGACCAGGGAAGTGTAATACTGAAATGAAAATGTTATTTGAAGACGCAGGGTGTCAGTCAAGCACTTGATCAATGCTATGTAGGAAGACGAACAAAGACACCGACACACACAGTCAATGAGCAACAAGCGGCCTTAACGCACACAATGAGAGCCATTAGATTTGAATTACGCCACATCTCAATGTGCAATTAATAAATAAATTGACCACCTTTGGCAGTGTTATAGTTCCTCTGCATAAATTTCCCACATTCCTCTCTGAGTACAAATACCATTCATTAAAGCTATTTTAAATCGTTATACCTCCATGAAAGAGATTCCCACACTCCAGACATCCGCATGGATTCCATACTGTTCCCCTGATATCCTCTCAGGCTGTGGAGCAAAAACACATGACTGTTAGCGACAAAGTTAGCTAGTTTCTTCACTAATAAAACGGTATAAATGTTTTTAAACCGAGACTGAACTTAAGGCTTAACACTCACCGCCATGTATGCATTGGTTCCCACATATGTTTTGGCAATAGAATTCACCAACTGCAAAAAAAATTAATTAATAGTGTTGAGACAGATATCATCCTGCAAATAAATCAATAAGGTTTTATATCAGGGAATAAAAAAACAAGCAAATGGCTGGATCTATCTTACATTATCTAAATCTATTGACATGTCAGGTTGATATTCCGGTTTGCACTCAACCCTCACACAAGGGAACAGGAGTAAGACAAGGAGACGTTAGTGAGTCTGTGTGAGATTGTGTGATTGTGTGTGATTGTGTGTGTGTGTGTGTGTGTGTGTGTGTGTGTGTGTGGAGATACAATAGCACATGCCATCAATGACAGGACTGTGATAATGAGTGTCTGTTCCCTTGTGACTGTTTTTTTTTTGTGTTGTTGTTTTTTTTGAGCATGCCCTAAAGAGTGTGAAAGACGGAGGAAGAGAGACAAACAGAAAAACATACAGACAGAGGACAAGCCAGTGCTGCACACTGAGGATGTAAAAATTCACCTTGGAGATGCCAAGTAAGTGGAGGTTAAAAATGAATAACAATTTGCCACAGAATAGATGGTGTATGTGTGTTGAAAAGGGAGACAAGAGTCCTCGGGGTTGATGTTTTGGGGAATGGTGAAGGTCTGTCCCTGATGATTACATTACAAAACACACACTGGCGCACACACACACACATTCACACACACAATGACTAGGCTATTGTCTGCCACCCACGCTTTACCCCAATCTACTGAATACATATCAATGAGGCTTGGCGTTGTGTGTACGTGTGTGTGCGTGTGTGTGTGGGTCATAATTATAACAAGTGATTTTTTTTGGAGGCTACAGAACAATGGAGGTGCTGGGGGGGGTTAATGTGAGAGGAACACCCTTGGGACAGCACTGATGTCTTGAGTTGGAAATGAATGCAATGATTGACAAGCTGACCATATGCATGCACAAATGCATGGCGACTGCACAGGACACGTGGCTACAGACAAACTGTTTTTCGCTTCTTCTCTCTCTCTCTCTCTATCTCACCCACGCTCTCGCAAACAAATCAGCGTACCTGCGTGCTGACACCAAAGTCACAGAGCTTGACTTGTCCTCGGGTGTTCACCAGCATATTGGAAGGCTTGACATCTGTGGAGACAAACTGCTTGATAGAACTGCAACATCAGCACTCTGCAGCTTGTCTTTATCAACTCTGCTGCTTGATTTTTTTTTTTTAATAACACAGAGCCCACGCACTACCTTACTCACCTCTGTGAAGTATCTTCAGGCTCCACAGATATGTCAGGCCTTTGACTACCTACAGACACAATGAAGAGAAAAAAATGTATACTGTTTAACAAGATTTAACATTTAACCAGCACATCTGGCAGAATATGTACCTGGTGTTCATGTAAAGTAGCTATTACCACTTTTACCTTGTGAGCATTAACACCCTTGAAGTTAATACGGAATTTAGACAAAATGAGACTTTGCCTCTTATGTCATAACTCCATCCTCAAACACTTTTTTTTTTTTATCATAATGAAGGCCACATTTCACATTTCAACTGCTTTTCAACCACTCTGCGGCTATTTATGAAACGGACGAGTTGTCTGTGGGGAAAAAACACAAATTTGACCAATACATGCTGAACAGCTATGTGTGGAAAAATCACAATGAACCCATTTACACATTAAAAACAGGCTTTTATGAACTGGCGGTCGCTGTAGTGGCCAGTAAGCTCCTTAGAGGAAATAGGGTGGGGTTAGACAAGATTCATCCTGAAATGTTGAAAGCTTTGGATACTACTGTGCTGTCATGGTTCACACATCTCTACTGCTGCGCTGATGTTGTCCGTGACTGATCCACAGTCAGGCAGACAGTGGTGCTGCCTGAGGACCACAGGATAGTTCACACTGGTCTGATAACATTCTGTGC